TTCTTTTCTGCCACCAGCACTCCCCTAGCTGGCCCAGGACAGAAGAGGATACCATGGGAAAACATGTCTAAACTCAGGGACTTGGCCACTCTGCTCAGGTCCAGCTGCTGTGGCACTGTCAGAGAGAGCCGGAGACTTGCCTCCACATGGATGGATATGGGCACCACGTCTCCAAGAGTTCAGTTGGCCTTGGAAGGCCGTGTGCGATCCCTTGCATCCTTTGAGGCTGGGCCACACGGTGGACTTTTCTGGAGCTGGGGACAGAGGATCTGTGCCCAACCTGCCACTCAGTCTCCCACTGGAGCTGTCATGGAGCCTTCCCTGTGTTTGTTTAATAAAGTTCTGTGTAGTTTCTTAAGGGTCTGGTAGTTCTTGGGGACTCAGATAGTAGACTCTGCCTGAGTGTCTACTATCACTGGTGACCAGTTTCTAATGGTGCCCTTCCTTCCTTTCTGGCTATGGAGCCTCCCTTCCTACCCCAGAGACCAGAGGCAGCAGCAGGACCTTATCTGCAGGACAGCATAGCCCCCTTCCATCCCCATCCTGCCATCCTCTTAGGAATCAGTCCTTCTACCATGTCCTTCCTTCCTTCACCGTCATCTGAAATTTCTGACTTTGGGCCTTAAAATGGCCTTTCTCCATCCTGTCCATCCAGGGCCGTTCCCAAGACCTTGACCGCCTCTGCCTCCTTCTCCTCAAAGGACCAGCTCTCTGCCGCCCTGGCTGCTCTTCTCCCCAGCCCTAGCCAGGTACTAGCCCTGCCATATTCTTCTTCTATGGGAGTGAGTAATGGTGTCGTTCTCATAGCTCCCCAGGACACTACACGAGATTTAGAATGTGGTCAGCATTATCAAATGCTAAGTAGATGCTGTACTTACTGTACATGTGCCTGCCTGGTGCAACACACATGTTGGTGTTGCACTTAGGTAAGACCTCTCTGAAACACAAGATGACGCCCAGATCCAGGCAAACACATCATAACCAGACATGGCAGTGTCCTAAAGAACAGAAAGAAGCTCTCCTGTCTCCTGAGGACCGAAGACACTCTTTTCAGGGCCCAGCAGGCTGTTTGACCATCTCCATGGCTAAGGTCTGAGCCACTCCTGGCCTGTGGCTGAGAACAGTGGAATGATCATATCTTGGGGGCCTCTTGCTCTTCCATTCCAGACGGAATGGAAAGAGTGCAGTGTCTTCCAGTGAGGTTTGTACCTGAGGGTATTGAGTTTCTTCTCTCTGCCACCCAAAGTGCTGGGCACCTGATAAGAGCTGGCCATTAAGCTCCTCCCCAGGGGCCAGCGGCCTTTCAAAGCACATGGGGGGAACACAACCAGATCTTTGTGATAGTAAACCTGACTGGGCATGCTGACAACCCAGAGGGACCCACACAGCTTGACTGGGTTCTCAGCTGAGCAGCTCTCACTGCCTGAAGGCGCCAGAAGATGCTTTTAGCACCAAGAATACAGAATCACGGAAAGGTGTTTTTCTCTAGAATTCTCAAGTTTGAGCATTAACCCTCTCAGTCTTGCTCTTTGTCTGCCTGCTCACCTGTTGGACAGATTTGAGCTCTTAGTTTGCTTCCCATTGCTGTGATAAAGCACCATGACTAAAACCAACTTGAGGAGGAAAAAGTTTATTTCGTTTATAGGTAAGAGTCCATCATGGAGGGATGTCAGGGCAGGAACTTGAGCCAGGATCCTGGAGGAGAGACCATGGAAGACCGATGCTTACTGGGCTTGTTTTCCAGGGCTTTCTCAGCCTGCTTCTTTATTCAGCCTCATACCACATGCTCACATTGCTCCCTCCACCATGGGCTGGTCCCTCCCACATCAGCGATCAAGAAAATGGCCCCATAGTTTTGCCTACAGGCAGTCTGATGGAGGCCTGTTCTCAGGGATTCCTCTTCCCAGATGACTGACTTGTGTGTGTTACATTGTCACAAAACCTAAACAGCACACAGGCTGGCTGGAAACCCTTCATCTTGAGTCTGAAATGTGGGCACAGGTTGAGTTGTAGAATATACCTGGCACCTGGAGATGGCACAGGCGTGTAGGCCAGTCTCACCGTGGTTTCCACTTTACCAGCAAAGCGGCCTTTTGCAGGAAGCTTCAACAAGAAGCAGGTGGCAGACTGTATCCCTCTCTCCATCCTATTAGCCTCCCTGTGTGGCAGCCTCTCCAGAGAATGTTTGAAGGTCTTCCTACCCAAAGAAATTACATGTTGCTCACATGGCTTTCACTAACATACATGGTAGGTGGCATAGCAAGAGGCTGTTTGAAGGTTCTACCATGGACAGGAAGAAAGAATGGGCTTTTGGGTCTTAGGTGTTCCCTCCCCATCACAGATAGTGCCTGGGAAAACAAGGTGGTTGCTCATAGCCCCTGGAATAGGTTTCGTAGTTAGGTCAGGAAGGCCATGTGCCCAGAGGGAAGAAATTTTAATTTATGAAACAGTTCACCCAATATTTTCATAAGAAAATAACATTTCATTATTGCTACATTTATTTATTTGAGGGGGTCAGAGGACAACTTGTATGGCATTGGCTTTGTCCTCTCACTATGTGAGTTCTGGGGATCCAACCCAAGTCACCAAGTCTTAGTGGTGAGTGCCTTTAGCCCCTGAGACATCTTGGCCTGTAGAGAACAAAATTCACAAGAAAATGACTCATAAAAGAATTAAAAATTTTTTCAGTAAAGTTCCACATTAAAATTCCCTTTGGCTTTGATTGTTTTACTGAGACATGATCTCAGTGTGTAGCCTTGGTTAGCCTAGAACTCATTCTATAGAGGCTGGTCTCGAACTAACAGAGACACAGAGACCTGAATGCTGGCGATAAAGGTGCACACCACCACTAAGCAAATTTTTTTTTTTTTTTTGGTTTTTTGAAACAGGGTTTCTCTGTAACTTTGGAACCTGTCCTGGAGCTTGCCCTGTAGACCAGCTGGCCTCGAACTCACAGAGAGCCGCCTGTCTCTGCCTCCCAAGTGCTGGATTGAAGGTGTGCGCCACCACTGCCCCAAAATTCTTTTACATTAAAAAACAAAACAAAACCCCTACTTGATAGTAGAGCACAAAGAACAGTGATGACCTGATGCCTGCTGTGCACTGCAGGTAGTTAGCTGGTAGCACAGCCTTGGGTTTCTGAGCTTTGTTAGGTTTGGTTTTGTGTTGGTACTTTTTTGGGGTTTTTTTCCCCTAAAAGCAGACAGGAAACTATGACTTAAATCTCATTTAGCATCTGCCTTCTGTCTCATTTTCTCATTAACTAATAAATTTGTTCCAAAATTTCCAAAGCAACATTTATTCTTTTTTTAAAAATTTATTTTATTGTTTTTAATTTTTTATGTGTATGTGTGTTTTGCCTGCACATGTATGCCTGTGGACCACATATGTGCCTAGTGCCTGCAGAGGCCAGACGAGGGCACTGGATTCCCTGGAACTGGAGTTGGCATGGTTATGACCTGCCATGTGAGAGCTGGGAATTGAACTCAGTTCCTCTGGAAAAGCAGCCAGAGCTTTTAATGACTAAGCCAATTGTCCAGCTTCTATTTTTATTATTTTTAACTGTGTGTGGAGTGGGGGTGCATGAGACTGCAGATGCCTGTGGAGGTCAGAGGTCAGAATCCCTGGAGCTGAAGCTACAAGCAGTTGTGAGCCTCCTGACAGGATGTTTAGAACAGGACCCAAGGTCTCTTGAAAAGCAGTGCTCACTCTTTAACTGCTGAGCCATTCTCCAGTCTGCCCCATCTTTTCTTGATTGATACCGGTTTGTGGTCCATCCTAGACCCCGAGCAAGAAAAGGGAAAAAGTGTTCACACTGAACACCAGATGCTAGGAGTCTTTGACAGGGGCACACAGTGAGCCCGTGGTGCTGGCAGACTGGTACTTTACATGTTGATATTTTCATGAAGCAGTTTGTCTCCAAAAAATGTATTATTTTATGTATTTTTCTGGGTGTTGAGGCTGCCACAGGCATGTAAGGCAGGGGTATAGACACCATGCCTTTCTGCCTGGGGGTTATCCCCAAGGAACTTCATGTGTTTTTAACATGAAACCATCGCAGAGTGAGGAAGAAGGGGAGGCAAAGCCCAGCAGTGGCTTGGGGACTGGCTATTACTTTATTAAGTTTATGTTGTATGTAATTAGCAAATAAAAGTCTGTGGAGGATTTCAGCAGTCGCCTCATCAGATGACCATGGTCATTTACTGAAATGAGCATTTTAGTGTGCACTGAAAGCAAATTATAAGACTCAGGAAATTGAAACCTGAAGACCACCAGCTCCCCAGTTTCCCAGCGCAGGAGCTTTGCCGCTGGCGTCCTCAGTGAAGGCCAGGTGAGGCAGAGCCCAGAGCTGTGGGCCAGGCAACAAGGTGCAGGTAGCAGTCAGGTCTCTGCCTGTTATCAGGTAATGTCCTTGTGTGCTCTCCTCCCCAACCTTAGTTTCCCTCCAGCATTAGCTTTCTGTGTGGGTCTTATGGATCTTAAATGTCCCACGAGAGCCATGTGGTAAAAACAGTTGCCAGCCTGTGACAGTCAGTGCTGGGGGAACCTACGAGAGTGGAGTCCAGAGGAAGGAAGCTGGTCTCTGGCAGTGTGCTCTGAATGGACTGCCGGGATCCTGTACTCCCCATTTGCCCTCTCCTTGTGATGAGGTGAGCTGCTTTGATCTACCATGAAAAGCCGGGATCCACAAAAGCAAGGCTTGGGTAGCTCCAGCAGACAGTCAGGGCCATGGACTCCACTCTGCCTGACTCTGCCTTCTTCCGGGTGTTCCATGTTCTAGGACAGCTACAGAGTTCCAGTCATCGCATCCGCATCCTAGCTAGAAAGAACAGCAAATAAGACAACAACGCTTTTAACAAAAAGCTCCTACGAGAAGCCCTTCTAGCAACTTCTGCTTAGAACTCACTGGGCAGCTCTGATCTGCCGCTTCAGCTGCAAGGAAGGCTGAGAAATGTAATAGTTAACCTGGGCATGTGGCAGCTCA